TGAACAAATTATATAATATGATCTTATTATTGATAAAATGATTGGTCCTAATTGATTGATATTTACCTATTTCACGTAATCTAATTATAAAAATTTCTATCTAATTATCTTTTTTATCAACATCTTTTTTCTTAAAAAGGGATTTTAAATATCAATACCAAAGAATTGCTTAATAAGTTTGAGTCACTTCCTGAATGCCAAGCAAAGAAAATATATATATATATATGTTTAGAGCCTTAAGGGATGGATTGATAGCCCTACACCTCGCAGGATTGAGTCCCCTAAAGCTTAACGAAATGTGCAAAGTAATATTTGAAAGCCCAATAAAGCCTTTCTGGACCTTTAAGCTATAACCCAATAGAGCTCAGAGCTAATAATGATCTATTCCCTAAGTTGAATTTTTGATTCTCAAAAAAAAAAAAAAAAAAAAAAAAAAAAAAAAAAAAAAATTTCTAAAAAAAAAAAAAAAAAAAAAAAAAATTTCTACATTGACAAAAAGATCCTTGGCAGGGATATATTGGACCTGGTATATCCTTTTTCCAAATAGAAAATCTGACATATTCTCCTTCTGATGGGCCGGGTTTAGAGCCAACAGAGTCAGGTACACTCCACTTTGAATGAGGGAATCCTTTACAGGCTTACACTTTGTTTTTCTATTGCTTTGGGCCGTTCAAAATCATCTCTGGACCATGACACCTGCGATGGAACGACTTGGATAATCACAATAATAATTAGAGATGGATCAAAAGCATAAACTTACCTATGCATTTTATTTAAAAAAAAACTTTGCCGCATCTTCAACTTTTATTTTGATACAGTGAATATTGTAATTTATAAAATTTCATCTATTAAACACTAAAATTTATAAAATTATTCTATTGAACATTTTAACTTATAAAATTATATTGATTAAACACTTATTTGATAAATGAAAGTGTGAAAATTATTATTCCAAAAGTTTTTCTAACCACACATTAAATTAATAATATTATCATAATGGGTATACTAAATTTTTCTATTGAATTTAATGCAATTAGATCATTGGATAAGTATAGAACTTAAAAATGTTTTTAATAGATAGATTGTAACTAAAATATTGCATATTTTATTTGAGGTACCTAACCCATACTTTTAGGATAACTCCAACCTCCAATTAATTTCTTTCTCTATTATTAGTAATGATTAATTGCTATTAAACTAAAACTATTAAACATACCAAGGTATAGCCTAGTGATAATATCACGCCCGACTCTAACCACCAGAGAAATTGTCTGCTTTTGATCAAGCTAATTCGATTCATTCTTATTTCCCGCATTTCATTATTTATAGCTAACCTGTCATCCTAAAAACTAGTCAGAAATTTTGCTCTACTTGCCCTCTTAAAATTGCTTTGTCGGATTGAAATGTTACATGTCAATGCATATATGATTTGAAAATAGATTCGATTTAAATCCTTTCCTCAGTCCTAAGAAAAAAACTGTTATCAATGATTGGGGTTTTAGTGGGAAATGTAGGACTTGAAAATGAAACCCATTAATGGTACAAAATATCTTTTTTTTTTTTTTTTTTTTTTTTTCAGTCCTAAGATAAAAAACTGTTATCAGATGTATTGGTATGTTTAGGGGAAAAATGGTAGACTTCGACAATGACAAACCATTAATGTACAGAAATAATTTTTTTTTTTTTTTTTTCTTTTTTGAAAATTACAGCTCTCACTTCTCTTTCGTGTTATTTGGAGTTTCGTGAATGGAGTTAAAAAATAAAATAAATGTATTTTCTACTGTGTGACCTGAGAAACAGGAAAAGCTAAAAATTTTTTTTTTTTTTTTTTCTTTTTTGAAAATTACAGCTCTCACTCTCCTCTTTTATTTTGGAGTTTCGTGTGGAGTTTTAAAATATAATAAATGGTATTTTCTACCTTGACTGAAAACAGAAAGCTAAAGTAAGTGTACCACCAAGCATTCTTTCTTTACCGAGTCCGACAACTAGTTGAAGAGGTACACCTCTGATTCCACTTCAAGCTGCTGTCACTAATATCAGAAACAAACGTTAATCTCATTTCTTCACTAAAGATTATATATAATCTCATAATCACACAAATAATTAAACATAATTTGGTATGACATTTAAAATTTTTCGCAAAATTCATTTAAATTTTATATTTCCAAACAAAATATTTTCAAATTCTATTAACCCTTTGATATTGATTTAATGATTAATGACATATGCACTTGAATGAAGATTTCTCAGTGCTTATCATCATTAGAGATCGATTTTTTTTTTATTGATTTAGGATAAAAGATTCATCAATTTCACATTGAAAGCCTTATCATCTAGGAAACATTTGTTTGTGCATTTTGGCATAAGAAATTATTAATAGGCCTAATATATTATGAAGTTATGGCAGTAATTTAATTACAACAAGCCAATGAAAAGCAGCAAGTTGCTGTGTATGGACAAACCCCACCCCAAATCTTATGAGTGAGGTAGTAGTGGCCATTACAAACATAAATTGTTGCTTTTTCATTGGAAATGGAAACACAAGAGATCCTCTTTTTCAAGAAAATGATTCATTGATGTGCCCATCCCTTTTGATTCATAGTGTGCCAGATAGATTTTGCATTTGCTAATTGCTCCAATTATTTCATTGCTAGCTTACCCTTTATGGGTATTTTCTTTTTAGCCAGATCGAATACAAAAATTCATCCGTAAAAAATCTCATGTTACTCATAATTTTTTTTTATTGCAGTGTATTAAATATTTTAATTTATAAAATTGTTTCCATTAGATATTTTAATAAAAATTATTCTATTGAACACTTAGACGGATAAAATTAGACATTAAATATTTGTTAAATAGTTGAAAAATATGAAAATTTTTATTTAAAAAATTATGCTACAAACACATCAAGTAAAGATTTTACACACAAATGTCAAAAACACTAAAACTTATTATTACTGATATGAGAAACCGTAAAATATTACCAAAATTCATAATTTCAACGATAGAATAGTTCTCTGATAAAACTAGGATTATCATAATAATTTTTCTGTAAAGTTCAATAGTAAGTTTATTTATGTTTAGCCCTTTTACCTATATATATCCAAAAACCACATTAGATCTAAGTAACTTCTAATACTAATTTGTGTAGCTAAACAGGTTTGCTTAATTGAAATTACCGAGAGTAACTTCAGTACACTTTAGCAGTCTCGTAGTCATAATTCTATCATACGATTCTAATTCTAATTAGTACATTCTTTACCCGAAAGTAGCATTTTAAAGACCATATCTAGCTAGCTAGAATCACATTATTCCATCCTAGTTTTCAAGATCACACATTTGTTTATATCTTCATTTTGATTATAACACTGAGTATAGAAAATCAATATGGAATTTCATTTCATGTACAAGTAACTAATTTGATTCGTATCTTTAATTTGATGCCCACTCAAGATTGATGATTCCACTAATTAATCTATTTTAAAGTTTAAGTCTCAAAAATTAATGTTAATTGAGAAAATCATATGATTATATAGGCAGAATGGAAGAAGTTTGTGAAAATTGTATTTTGGAAAAGTACAAAAAGAACCGGTTTATATGGACCAATTAGAAGAGTTATGATAGGAAGGAAGATATGAGTAAATTAAGACAGAAATGTCAAAAACAGAAGATATGAAATCAATAGATACCTTCGACCCATAATATGGATGTATAAATGTAAACATAAACTCTCTTTCTGTCGTGGTTTAAGGTTTTCGTATGGAAATTAAAGAGCAATAAATTCTCCCTAAATTATAATAAAACCAAATAAATTATCTTTTATCTCAAAACTAAGAGTAATTTATGAATGTAATTATTGTATATAATATAAACAAAGATAACATTGGAAAAAAATATCATTTGTTACTCTTAAAATACTCAAAATGATATCCAAAAACTATTTATATTTAAATTTAAACTTGATAGAGTTTTGTAAAGAGGCATCTAAGTAGGAAGAGTAGTGCACTTTGAATTATTCCTCAGCAGATAAACATAATTTGGCATAGGCATATGCTCCAATTTAACTAACTTGTTATTCTTGGCCAATTTGAAAATCATACTAAAGAATTTTTTTCTTTTTTTCTTTTTATTTTTTCTTCCTTTAAATTGGAAGATATAGATGATACTGTTAGCACAAATAATTAAGCATGTTATGGAACTTTATTTATTTATTTTTTTTTTAAGAAAGTGAAAGTGACAAAAATGAAAAGATGTGTAAGAACATCAATTATTAATACCTTTAAAAAAAAATAATGAAGGAAAAGCTTTGATATGGTTGGCCCAGATACTCATATACAGTTACAGAACCTTGCAGCCCATTAGCCACCTTTAAATGGCATAGAGGACAACATACTAATTATTACTAAACACCTTTTACTTAACTAAAAATCTAAGAATTAATATTAACCCTTCAAAGCATTTTAAGAATCTCTTCACACACAAGAACTGGTTTTCTTTTTGCTGATCAAACCGACCAAGAATCCCAGGTTATCTTGTCTTACGAGTAGCCATAATTTGTTCTATGACTAATGAGTATGGATTCTTATCTTCTTTTAAGTATGATCTTGCATCCCATGCATGACTTTCTGGAAGATGCTAAGCATTCGAATTTTGATAAAAAATAAAAATAAAAACTTAAAAATCATGAAACTCAAAAATGAACTACTTTTTCATTTTTCAGATATTCTGTCCAGTTGAAAGGAATTTGCCTCGTAAAAGTAATGAGAATTGCATCTGCAGAAATATTAGTATATGCAAAGCAGTAGAAATATAAATAGTAGCAGTAGAATCCTCTTTTTATCTCTTTTTATAAAGGAATAACACATTAAAATAAAAATGAATATCTTAATTATAATGTTATATATAATTAAGTAATCTGTAAGGAGCAAGCATGATAAATATGATATGGCCCTTTGCATTGTCATCACGCATTATAAATCCACCATCAACTCTTCTCTCCCTTAATTGGTTAAGACCAAAAAGCCACACTTTGCTGCTTTAGAAACTAACGCATTCACGAAACCATGCACTAAAAATTGATTTCTGTTATCTAAACTTCCCAAAAAGAAACTATAGTTTCTTATCAACAAAAATATATATATTGGGTATTACTCTACCATTCCGTTTTGCTTAAGCCAAAATGTCTACCCCAACATCAAATTTTGAAGTGAACCCATTTGACAATACATGTCAATCTTCTTCTCCACCACCATCACTAATCAAACAAAAATGTTCAACAAAGCTTATGCAAATATTATTTTCCGAGTTAAAAACACAACGGACTATAGCCCTTCCTTTATTAGCAATGAATTTGACATGGTTCGCAAAAATAGTGATCACAACGGCTTTCCTAGGCCAGCTTGGAGAGCTCCGGTTAGCTGGAGGCACTCTTGGCTTCACTTTTGCTAATGTAACTGGCTTCTCTGTCTTAAATGGGCTATGTGGTGCCATGGAACCTATCTGTGGTCAAGCTTATGGGGCTAAAAATTTTAGGCTATTACACAAAACCCTTATCATGACAATTTTCTTGTTGCTATTAGCAACTCTTCCTATATCTTTCTTGTGGCTTAATGTCGAGACAATTCTAATCCATTTTGGCCAACAACAAGAGATTTCACTTGTTGCAAAAACCTACCTTTTATATCTTCTCCCTGACTTGGCAATCACTTGCTTACTTTGTCCTCTCAAAGCCTACTTGAGTTCACAAGGTATGACAATTCCTATAATGTTTAGCTCAGCTCTAGGCCTAGCCTTTCACATACCCATAAATATTTTCCTCGTAAAAAGCAGGGGTCTTGAGGGAATACCCATGGCTATATGGATAACTGATCTTATAGTAATGATTTTACTAGCTTTATATGTGTTGGTGAAGGAAAATAGTAAAGGAGGGAAGTGGAAAGAGGGAGGATGGTTAGACCAAGGAGTTGAAGACTGGCTAAGGTTGCTAAAGCTTTGCGGACCGTGCTGCCTAACCAGCTGCCTTGAATGGTGGTGTTGGGAGATCTTAGTCTTGCTCACTGGGCGATTGTCGAATGCAAAGCAAGCAGTAGGAGTGTTAGCTATTGTGTTGAACTTTGATTACTTGCTGTTCTCTGTAATGCTTTCACTAGCCACTTCTGCTTCAATTCGTGTGTCAAATGAGCTTGGGGCTAATCAAGCAGGCTCTGCTTACCGCTCAGCTAATGTTTCACTGGCGGTGAGTTCGGTTTCAGGTTGCATTGGTGCGTTGGTGATGGTAGGAGCAAGAGGTATATGGGGGCCTTTGTTTAGCCATGACAAAGGCATTGTAAGAGGTGTAACGAAGATGATGTTGCTAATGGCGTTGATAGAAGTGGTGAACTTTCCTCTGGCAGTTTGTGGAGGAATCGCGAGAGGAACTGCCAGGCCATGGTTGGGTATGTACGCAAATGTTGGTGGATTCTATTTAATTGCTTTGCCAGTAGCTGTGCTTTTAGCCTTTAAAGCTGGACTTGGGCTTGGGGGGTTGCTGTTAGGTTTCCTGGTTGGGTTGGCAGCTTGCTTGATGTTGTTAGTGGTGTTTATTATGAAGATTGACTGGAATGTAGAAGCTGGCAAAGCACAAAAACTAGCCAGTAACATGGAAGAGACTATTCAAGACAGAGAAAATCATAAAACTAGTGATACAGTTGACAGTGCTTATGTATAAGAATAACTTGGAAACATTTGTTTCGTTTTGGTATGTTATAATCATATCCTAATTCATCCGATAGATTCATCTATGGAATGAAACATTAGTTATCATGGCGAGGGTACCATGAGAAGATTCAGCATTTTCGGCGTTCAATCAGCTGGATATTTTCCACGGAAAATAACTTAGCCCGCAGAAGATACAAATGTTAAAAAGATTTTTATTCGTGCAAGAATGATAGGATCTGCAATTTCAGTTGAAACACACAAACGTACAATTCTTTGTACTCCTATGATTATAAAGAATCTCACTGCTCCTGAAGAAAAATGAAGGCATTATCCATCTACAAACCCAGGTCCAGAACTCAAAGACTCCAGCTCTGCTGCTTTCTCATCATTGAAGCCTAGTGCAGCCAGTACTTTGTGACCTGGGGAGTCCACTTCTGACCAAATGCCAAGAAGCATATCACTTGTTGTAATTTCACCACTATCCCCTGTAATCAAGAGACACATTAGTTAAAAGTGAGTGTTCTATCTTTGCATGCCGTATAAACACCTAAACCCTGTTTTTATGCCCTTTCCCATGAAAGTTCATTTCAGGAAACTATGGCTTGAAATTCAGACGAGTTATTAAACAGAATAATTATGCCAATCAACATAAATACTGGTCAAACAGCAGAACACTTCTCAATAGATGAACACTTGCACCCAAGAATTATCTTAGCACAACATTGTGAATCACTGATTGCAACTTACTGAAAAAGCTTCAATTTAACATAACAGCCTAATACACAGAAACATTCTGCATTTGCAACTTGTTGCAATTGCAACCTAGTTTCAACTTCTTGACAAGCATATCCTAAAATGCAGCTTAGAGATATTTATTGCACCTCGCGCTCAAATTAGGTTTCAGAATGAAAAATTAATTGCTGTAGGCTCCACAATCCACATTGATTCAATTCAAAAGGACACCAGATTGCAACATGCTCAATCTCTTCTTTTGCCTATTTGCACGCTCCATACCAATCACACAAATCCTAACCACCCAAATCAATCCACAAACTCATTTCCAATCTTCCATATCTTTCACCATGAAAACTCGTATACTGAAGCTACAATCAAGAATATCCTACAATTGTACAGTTCCTCTCTCAATTATCCATGACCCTCTACTCCTTCAACATTGTACAGTTCATGAACCTTAACACAATCGTTCATGGCCGATTGGTCATGGTTCCTCTCTCGGTCATTCATGACAGATCAATCCCCTATCCTCCAATCTTACAACAGAGATTAATTGCATTACTAGCTACTATATAAGCTCTAGAATTATAATAATGGTTTCGCGTGTTTAGGATATCACTTATCAGGGTTACAATAACCTCCTAGAAAAGCCATAGCCTATGTTTTCAAGACCTTCTATTAAAAAATAATAATAATAATAATAATAATAATAATAATAAGCATTGGAATAAAAACAAGTATAAGAACAATGCACAAATTAGCTGCACTTACCTGATTTTAGTTTATGCTCAACAGCCCAGTCAAGGGCTCTTTGAGCTGATTCTGTCAAGGGAGGCTGCTCAGGTGGGAAAAAATACATGTCAGCCTTTCCAAGTAACTTGATAGTTTCTTCACGCACTTTGAAAAGAGTAATTCCATTTGTCCACAAATACTTTGCAGCTAGACTAGTCCCTAGAATCCAAACAAGAAGAATTTTCACATTAAAGGATATCAATAAAAATCTTTACATAATAACTCATCTAAAAGATATCGGACACCTGTTCTTTCAATATATCACCAATAAACTAACACAAAAGTATGAAGTAAAACCAATGCAAGTTAGTAGTAGACATATATAGTTTGCAATATGCGAATGACATTGACTGGAGGCTACAGAAACTACTTAAATTCCACCATGCGGGGTTAGTAGGATAGTCTGCAAGTCCATTATTTGTACTATTTTTGCAGAACACGGTGAACTGAACTAAAAAAAATTCACTCGAAATTGACATTAGAAAACGAAAAGCTTGAGATGAGCAAAATTTGTTACTACCTTCAATCAGGACGCCCATAAGAAGAGACTCAGTCCCAGTATTTGCATACTTGAGCTTCCTAGCTTCCAATTGAGCCAAAGCAAATGCCTTTATTGCCCTCCATGACCACCTAAAAATTTCAGCCACACCCAGTGTCAACAAAACCTCACTCTAAGCCAAAACGCAACAAACATTTTAACAAAACCAAACCAAGCTAAAATTGACTCACTTGGGAACTTTCTCAGCAGAAGCAAATCTCTCTGGATTCCTGCAAAAACCTGAAATTACAATTTAGTCCTCTGAAAATAGGAAATTATTAAATAAAGGGAAATTAAAGATGGGAAATAGCCAAAATACGCAGTTGGAAGGCTGGACACCGTGGCGGAGATGGGGCGGCGAGCCAGTGATTGATGTCTGGGATTTGTGGATTGGAAAGAAAGATTGGTCTTGTGTATGGTGGTAGCACCTAACCATAGTAGGTTTTTTGAAGTGTAGGGTTTAAAAGAGTGCGGTAGATGATATTTGGATTGTGTTTTTTGAAGATTGGAATGCCTGATTGCTTGGGTTGTCCATGGAAGATTGGCCAGCGATTGAGCAGCCATCTCTTGCGAGCTCTGTACAGTTGGACGACGCTTGCACTAAACGTGGATTGTAGATTGGGAAAGACGTCCAGCGAAATCGTGTTCGCGTTAGTGTTTTGTAAAACAAGCCCAGGAGCTTGGGCTTCACATATTTGGGTCAAAAATGTCCATTCAACACTGTGATATTGGATTATTAAACCCACAACAGAAACCCTAAAATTCAATAGCCCAAGCTTGGCCTTGGTTGGTCCTTTTTGGCAAGGGGATTCTCCTTACCTTACCTCTTCTTGCACTATAAACGAGTCGAGCCAACAGCTTCTTGGATAGTAAATATTTTTTTTTTTTTTTTAATTAGGAGATGTTGTGGGCCTTGGTTGGTCCTTTTTTGGCAAGGGGATTCTCCTTACCTTTACCTCTTCTTGCACTATTAAAACGGAGTCGAGCCAACAGCTTCTTGATTAGTAAATATTTTTTTTTTTTTTTTAATTAGGAGATGTTGAATTGAGACGAAGTAAATTTCCCCAAATCATATAAAGTGTTTGTTATTTTGATCCTGTATTTATTCAGTTTTACTTTTTTGTGAAATAGATCATTAAATTTTCCCTTACACAAGGAGAAGTAAGTTTCTTAAAAAATAATTAAGGCGAAGTTTTACACTTTTCTTAGTGTAAGGTTTGAACGGAGTTTTACCAATTTATCCTATTAAATCTAACTTATACTCCAAATTTATATACTATAAATATTATTGTAATTAGTAGTTTTGAGAGCAATTTACTTTCTAAAAAAGTGATTTGTGCATATTAAATTATATACAAATTTATACTTCTTAAAGTAATTTCCTTAAAAATTTATTTTTTCAGAAAATCAGTCATTAACGAGCCTAAATTGAATATTTAGCGTCTCAAACCATGTCTTAATTTCCTACACGACATGGGTGTCTTGCTTCCCCTTCTCTCCGTTTTAAAGAGACAAAGCATGTTTCGCCAATATCTTTTTTAGACCTCTATTACCTTCTAAATGTAATAAGCAAGCACCGGGTTTTCTCCCTTAAAAGCCATCTACACACCACTACCTCTCCACTTGTTTTTTATTTTTTATTTTTTGAAAGAGTACAGTACACCACTCCATTGTTATTCATCAGAAGCTGTATCCCATTAAATTACAGCCCTCTTATAAATTGATCTTTTTAAAATATAACATAGATTAACCATAATTTGAATATTTAATTTCCATGACAATTCGGGACAAATATTTCAACTTATATCCAATTGTACCAAAATTACCAAAAATTTCTTTTAAAACAGTAATCTTTTTTATTTTAATTTAAGGCTAGAGATCCCCACAGTCGAAAATAATTATTATTAAGCTACAAATATAGGTACCCAACCTTCTTTTATTCATCAAACCGGTGAAAACTCTTATAGTCGAGAGATTTAATTACATATGAATGAGAAGGGATAATGGGACAATTAACTTAGCAAGAAATTAACGTTTTAGTTGCGGCGATTGCAAATTTAAACTTTTAAGTGGGAATCCAATTTTCAAAAAAAAAAAAAAAAAAAAAAAAAAAAAAAAAAAAAAAAAAGTTTCTAACAAAACATAACATATTTAGTAGCATAATTGCAGTGGCAGGTGATTTGGCAACATATGGGAGAAGAACCTAATTAACAAACAAACAAATCTTTTAAGGGACAATTACTTTATATTAATCAAAGCTTCAATATTTGCAAAGACAAAATCACATTCCACTTTTATTTTTATCATGATTCTGTTCAAAATATCTCTTTCTGCAATTACTAGTTTCACAAGAAGTTGTCAACCTTTGCAGCTCTCTTGTGGGCTCCTTTCTTCTTTCCTGATAAAAAAAACTGGCTCTTCTACATACTGTGGCCCACATAGATCAGTAAGACATTTGATTGATATATTTTCTGGCCATATCTGGTCCGTCTGATTTTCTTGCACTAAATTGTGGAGGCTAACAGCCTAACAGAGAATGTGAATCAGGATAGTCAAAGTAGAAGGTTATAAAGTTTTTTAGTATAAGACAAGAAGAAAATACAACTCTCAATCTCAACTATGGAGTAATCTGTGCAGGCACACACCGTATATGATCTTGTGTATGGAATGACTTATTAGGACCCTACCCTTTATTTTCCAGTGTACCGTTTCTTATACGTTTGACTTCTTTTCATCTTCCTCTTTTTGGGATGGAATTCAAGTTATGTGGTTCAGATCTGCTTATGAATAATGGTAAAATTATTTATTTTTTAACAAATAAGGTTTGATACTGTTAACAAAAGTCAATGGAGAAATTCTCGTATCAAATTCCCTTGCTTATAATTTATTTTTCCTTTTTAAATAATATACTATTAACTGCAGTTGTTGTATCCACCCACCGACGTTTTACCATAACGTTCAAACAAGAAAAAGTCATTAGTATTAATTAGAATCCAAATTGAAGAATTAATAAACATAATTAGGACTTAGGACATAATAATTTTTTCCAACTTTAGGTTTTTTTTTTTTTTTTTTTTTTTTTTTTTTTTTTTTTTTGAAAAATAACTTTAGGTTAATTATATTTCCAACTATTCAGAGATTTGTGATCAAAAGTAATTTTTCAATTGTTACCAAATTTAACTTTTCTTAATTTAAATTAATTAGCTTTGTCGAGTAATTAAGCTACAAGAAGATTTTTTTAGGTCACAAAATTTAAACAGTGGACCCACATGATTGGATAAATTAAATACAAGAAGGTTCAAAAGCATGTGCAATCATTTTTTTTTTTTTTTTTTTTTTTGAAAAATAACTTTAGGTTAATTATATTCCAACTATTCAGAGATTGTGATCAAAAGTAACTTTTTCAATTTTGTACCAAATTTAACTTTTCTTAATTAAATTAATTAGCTTTGTCGAGTAATTAAGCTACAAGAAGATTTTTTAGGGTCACAAAATTTAAACAGTGGACACATGATTGGATAAATTAAAATACAAGGTCAAAGCATGTGCAATCATGAGTAATTTTAATTCTTCTCTTCACAGATTAATTATGAGTTCTGACAAAAGCATGACGATAATAATCCCTCAATAAATCTTAATTAGTAGAATTAACTACAAATTAAATTGGTTTTTGGTGTTATTTTTCTAATGATTCTCACGACGTATTTTCTCTATTGGTAATGAAAAGTTGAAAGGACCACAGCAGTTATATGTTCGCATTGATATTTGCTTAGGGTTTACTCACGCACAGCATGATCTTAATAATGTGGTTCGCTGAAATTGAAGTTCAAACACCACAAGGATCATGGCTTCTTCAAGAACAACCCAACTGCAATCCTTTTCATTTTTAATAATTCTTAGCTACAGCAGTGCAACTGTCATTTTCATGCCTAATTTTTGTTTTGGTTAATGTTTTTCTTTTCTTTTTTTAATTGATGCAATTTGATTACCCTATTTAAAAGATTTTTCTTAGGAACTTCATCATTACATGTTTAAATTCTGCTAATGATGTATATTGTCTGATTAATCTTTTCACTTTCTATAAAAATATGAATAGTGAAAGATTTCAATTTGAGTGCTTTCAACAAGGAGCATGCAATACCATCGTCCAGTCAACAAAAAAAATCAACCGATCCAGTTCGATTAGGTCAATTTATTCAAAAGAAGTTCAGTTTATCGGATTTAATCGGTTTGAACTAAAGTTACTATTAGTTTTGTTATGTCTCACGTAAATTAATCAGTTAGATTTAAAACCAAGTTGATATGGTAAATCAATTAAAACCAATTGAACTAACTGATTCTGCTCGATTTGAATCAAATCGACAGTTTACTCACTCTTACTATTTTCAATCAATGTGAAGTTTTTAAATTTGAATCTCTCAACCATATGAGTTGTTATTAATTTAGTATTATTTCGCGATATTTAGCAAGCCGACTAAATATGTCAAACTATTAGTAGACTATAAAGCAGATAAGATCAATGGAGGTGTTTATAAAGGTTTCACAATCGAATAGGTTCAATTACAAACCAACAAAAGAAATTAATGATCAAATCAGAAAAAAGAAAAGAAAAAGAAAAAAAATAGTGGTGGGGATTGTTTAGATTTGGTAATGATATGTTTAATTTAAGTGAGATGTAATGTCTTCTCAAAGGGGAGCTAAAAAGTCCCCCTATGCCCATAATCTCGAATGTCAAAAATAATGTCATTTTCTTTGATATTACATTTCAGTAGTTTCTTCTGTCACAGCACAAAATTGAAAGCTTTCCTTCCTAACTACCATTTCCCCCCAGCTGGCTGAATTGATTTAACAACTCCCTTTCAATCCATCTCTCTTTTTCACATTCGCTTAATCCACCTTTCTTAGCCACAATTACATATTTAAAAAAGCCAAAATTCCAGATAAACAACATCCACCTGAAAGTTACATGTCTATTCATAATTATGTATTTTATATTGATTTATATAATAAATTCCGTAGCTATCGAGCAATAGAATTGGATAATACCCACAAATTTATTTTTGCTTGATTGTCGATATTTACATCTATAAACGGTTAGATCAATAAAAATAAACTGTATTTACATCATTTAAAATTTGAAATTCCTATTGATACGAACCCGTGCCTAATATCACACAATAGACACGTACCGATCAAATCAAAGAATCATTATGCTGTAGAGTATATTCTCCATTAAAGTTAGATAAAAGAAAATAAATAGCCAATAGCTTTTAATTGAGTAGTGCTTAAGCATTGCGTGTGAAGTTGAACTTTCAATACAAGGAAGTACTATCAAATTGAACAAAAATCCATAAAGATTACAAAAATAAAATATTAATTGATCAAAATTTCCTTTTGATTGAAGAAAATTAATTGCGTATTAAATATGGAAATGCTCTACTTATGATTACGTATTACTATGAATTGAATGCTCTGAGTGAATTCCTCTAACAAACAAAACAATATCTGACATATAAACCTATGTTTTATGTCAAATAATTTCTTTTATAACAAAGTTTCATCAAAACATGATAAAACCAAAAATAGAATTAGCATATACTTAAAACACGAACACTTAAAAATATTGTACTTTAAGCCGAGACCTGTGTTCTTACTAGTTAAACCGAACCGGTTGGTAAAGAGTGGGTCAGTGAGTGATGAAGTCAAATCTATGTGTGGTTTGTTAAAATTAAAAAACAGAGCAGTTAGAAACCAGACTTGCAATGCAAGCCATGAGTTGGGAAGAGGCCAAACACACTTTGCTTTACGCTTACGTTGTTGTTTTTTTTAGTCTCATGATGTAATTATAATACTTAGAGCCATCTGAATGCGTCAAAACGGTGCGTTGCTCTTCGAATTCTGAAGCTTCCAGAATCTTTGTCTTGGACATGGGAATATACTCTTTAGAATATAAGAAAATTTTGGAAATTTGTATACAGCAAATTCTAAATTTTCCTTCTAAAATTTGAGTGAAATTAAGTGACACCAATTCATACAGACGTAACTGTTAATGAATAGACATGATTATTCGTGAATAAATATAATTATTTGTGGAAAAAAAGGCTACTTGTATAAATAAAAAAAAAAAAAAAACGTTATTTAACATACAACGTTTATTAGTAATCAACTAATCATTTTTATAATCAAAACGTCAACAAAGTTTCCTTGGTCAACAATATTCTCACACCAATGAAAGATTTCATATTGACCATAGCTAATTCATTATTTCAAAATTTGAAAAGTCTAATTTGTATATTTTTCTTTTTAAACCTTTGTTCAGTCAATTTGATATACACGCAGTCTATATTGCAGCATTGCCTGTCCATAACATTGTTGTTGAAACAAAATAGTATTTTTTTTTTTATCAAAATATAAACACCGTATTTACAAAAATTGATATACATGTAAGCAGTATACAATTGTTTTAGAATGTCTATTTTTTTTTTAATTTTGAAATATACTATTCTACTTTAATTAAGTAATGAATTAAATTTATCATTACTAGAATGACAGTTTAGTAAAGTATTAGCGATATTAAAATGACTTTTAATTATTTCCTTAATTGTTAGTATGTTTTTGCAAAACGAACACTTATTAAGGAAAGGAGCACTACTGCCGCTGTAGCCTGTAGCTACACGTCCGAGCCATGTGGTGTGTGTTGGGTTTTGCATTCACATGCATCCACTTTGACCAAACTTTGTACAAATTCTTTAATTCAGTAACCTAATTTGACGGCCAAGATCTCCTGACCCAGTAAATCTTCCTTATATGGGACCCAGGAGAAACATGCATTCCATTTTACACAAACAAAACCATAAAATAAAATTACCTTAATTATTGTATTTTTAAATTACTAGTAATTGGGAAACAAGTCCAAATTCACGCCCAAAATCATACTCCAGATTTTCCAGATTAAATTAATTAATCACGTTAATTAGATGAAAACATGCCTCCAGTGTCTCACGGAGAGATGTGCGGCGCCGCTGTATACAATCCCAACTCCAAAGTAATGCTGTTGCCCCTGGTTTCCAAATGTGAATGAGGTTTCGAATTTGGCGCCAAAAGTCATTAATAAAGCAAAGCCTCAGGGCGGGATTTCCAAAATAAAAAAACAAATTAAAATAAGATAAAGGTTTTATGACACTGGGGACCCAGTTACCGACGTCTGAGCTGTCATCCACGTGTCATCATGGCTTTCCACTCTCTCTTGTCAGCACCTCGTACACGGCCCCTTCGACAGTGCAAAGGCCACTACACTGTTGGCCCTGGCCCCCTGTTATTTTTAACTTCGAATTATTCGCCCAACAAATTTACCCGCCCGCACGCACAACCAACCCCCCCGACCAACGTAGTTTACACGTCAATAAACGGAAAAGAAAACTGGGCCCTTATCTTACATTTATCGATGTGGATATTTCCCCGTGATGACTTGGCCCCCTCCCCACCCAATCACCCACCGCCGTCCGATTTGGCGGGAACCTCACTCCTTTCCCGCCAAAGCGTGAGACAAATTTAAACTTTTATTTGGATGGATGCAAAATATGAGAAGATGTAAAAAAAAGGTGAAAATGTACTAAAAATTTCAAATTATTTTATTTAGTTTGGGTAAAAATAATAAAAAAAGTATAAAATAAATTTATTTTTTCTTATACGATTCTCCTTCTAAATATCACTATTCATACTTAATAATAACAATAATGAAATTACTTCACATCAATTCAAACAATGAGTACAAAATAAAAAAGTAAAATCAATAATATCATTTTAATCCTTATTTTACCGCCTCTTTTATTTTATTTCATACCTTTTTCCAAACATAGCATAAGCCACGCCTAGTTCAAAAGCACTCAAAAAATCCGCCGGCAGAAGTTATTACCTTTATGTCATATATGGCTCGAGTAGTTTTTTTTAAAACTGCTACACCTGTCAGTTGGTAAGTTAAGATAGACCCTTCCGTTAATTTTCCGTTTCTGGTAGCAAAGCCACGTCGCAAAAATTTAGATATATTAAACGCCACGTGGCTTGATGGTGTAGGTGAACGGTACCGATCATTGTGACAACGGAGAGTAATAGTTATCTATCGTTAGTTGTTACTGTTATTATTTTGAAAAAGAGTGTTTAATTGAGGTGCGAGAGACAACGGACCAACTCGACTACGTGTTCTCTGACAATCCTGCACGTGATTGTCAGAACTTGTAGGGCCCACGTTGTTACACTTATATGGGGTTCGTGACAGCATATTATGGAGTTGACACTGCTCATAAGTTCGACACGTGTCACAGTCATGGCAATTTAAGAGGTCACTCATCTAGGGGGCGCCCAAAGAGAAACATAATAAGTCCGAAAGCGTGCCTCCACGACTACGTCTAAGTCCATGCGAGCCGTTTGATGCCGCGACCAATTAAATACGATCACGTGAAACCATCTTTCAAATGACTAATTTCCCCTCCCACATTGTAAACACAAATAATAACAATGCAAGTTGATCAAAGCATGTTTTTTTGTTTTTTTTTCAAAAAGCAAATCTCCTGTCCAAGTAGCGATGAATCCGATGATTTATCATGTATAGAGATGGAAGGACAGAATTGACCATTTGGATTAAGAACTTTAATGAAAATCGGGAGGGTAAAAGTGAAAAGAAAAAAAAAAAAGTTATAAGTAAGTGTAAAGATCAAGGACACCGAAAAATACAATCGAATCGGCGAAAAAGTGAGAAGTAAAAAGCCGAGATAGGAGCGGGTTGGGGGGTGAGTTGTTGTCACTTGTAGACGTCATAAATCCGAGTCGGCAAATCTCAACTTAATAACCAAGCGAAAAGAATGCTGGGGCCACCTAGAATGCCACGTGGAACAACCCTTCCCGTTCATCAAGAATGAAACAGAAGCCTTGTTCCCATTGAGTTGATCGCACGCAAAGGACACAAAAAGTACACACGTGGAATCCGAGCTGGAAATTCGAACAACCTTGATTGGGTGTTCGATCGACAGGTGGCAATTCGATTTGGTTGACCTCAAGTTAAGGAGAGGGCATAGAAGTCTCTACGGGCAGGCGCTAGTCACGCCATGTGACCCCGTCTTTCCTTCTAGGCGTGGCTAGGTTTCGATATTTTAAAATAAAAATAAAATAAATAAAAAAATAAAATATATAAAGGGAGAGGCACAAGGGCAAGGAGAGTTAAGAACAAGGCGTGCTTTGCGCTTGAGAGAGTTTAGTGAGAGAAAATCGTAACTCCTTGGAGAGAAAGAGACAGAAAGGGGGGAAAAAAAATAGAAGAGGGAAAGAAAAGAAGTTGAGTTTGGTAGGGATTGTTAATGGCGATTTGGACTAAGGAGACAGATAAGTTAGAGTTTTAAGAAAATCTGGCTTTTGGCTTTGTTTGATAACAGCTTGAAGAGATCGTTATTTTTCGGGCTCTTCTGTGTTTGTCTACGCTGGGTCTTTGAATATCTCGTCGTTTGTTGAATTATTTGTTGGCTAATCCGCTTAAAGGCGAGAGTAAGAGAGGAAGTACCTCTATTTTTAGCACTCAGTCTGGTTCTGTTTTTATCCTGGTGTTGAAATTGAAGGAAAAGAAGAGAAGAAATAGTTATGGAGTGGAGTGCGTCTTTGGATGAGTACGAAAAGCTTGTGTATAGGATGACCACTCCCAGGTTAGTTTTCATGTAGATTCACTTTCTTCAGCCACAATATTGTAACTCCTGGTTCGGATTTATTTCTTCAATGGCGATCAACAATTGTTATTATTTTGTTCTTTCCCTTTTTCCTTGGTAAATTCATGGGTTTAAGAGTACTTTTTCTTGAATAAACTAAAATTTCTGACACCGAAATCTCTGTTGTCTGTTCTCCAGAAATTACTTACCTAACCCATACAGATATTGAGTATATGAGATCTCATCTTTTGATATCCTTCCATTTTTTAATTTTTCACAAAAATTAACTCTGTGTTCCTTAGTTATGAACATACCTAACTTAATTTTTTCAAATTATTTGGTTTTTAAAATAATTGTTTGGCTTCTCTTTTGATTTCCGAGAAGTTTACGATTTAACCTTGGACTTTTAACAGAAGTTTTCAATGATGTCTGATAAATACTTCACACTTGTTTTCTACCATGTAAAAACATAGTTTCATCTCTAGATCATTCCTTTAACTTGGAATTTAAATTCCCTTGTAAAAGTAATTCTTCTGACTTGACCTTTCCTGCTTTTACAGGGTCGTGATCGACAATGCCGTTTGCCCCACTGCGACTCTTGTCAAGGTAACCCTTCCACGAAACCACAAAGTACCTACAAATCAGATTTCAGAAATGTCAAAAGAATTGACTAAACGCATATTAAGTTTCCTTCTAATTTGTTCAAAAATATTGACTTAAAAGTCTCCTTTGCTTGTTCTTGCAGGTTGACAGTGCCAGGAAACATGGGATATTGCTTGAGGCTGTTCAGGTTCTCACAGATCTGAACCTTTCGATTAAAAAAGCTTACATCTCTTCCGATGGAAGGTGGTTCATGGATGGTAAGAATTCAACTAAAAAACCAACTTCTTTTTTTTTGTTTTTTAATTCCTTGCTAATTTGCTCCTGTAAGATAGTGCAGTTAGCAATGTCTTGCTTCTTTGAATTAAACCAGAGTTTCTCGAGTGTTCTGCTAATAATATTTTCTGGGTTTATTTTTTCTCTTTGTTCTGCAGTTTTCCATGTGACTGATCTGAACGGAAATAAATTGACAGATGAAAGCGTTATTAACTATATTGAGCAGGTATTTGTCATGCTTAAAAGCAATTTATGACGTCTTTATAATTTTATAACGTGTATTTTCTTGAGATAACTGATGACGTTTCATGTTTTTGTGCATTGCAGTCACTTGGAACAATTCATTACGGTAGAACCCATGATTTTAACGGTTTGACAGCGTTAGAACTAACTGGTACCGACAGAGTTGGCCTTCTATCAGAGGTCTTTGCAGTGTTAGCTGACCTGCAATGTGATGTGGTAAAGGCTAAAGTCTGGACTCATAATGGACGAATTGCTTCACTAATTCATGTAAAAGATTGCAATTCAGGGTCCCCAATTGAGGACTCACAACAAATTGATAGAATTGAGGCTCGTTTGAGGAATGTTCTTAAAGGGCATAATGACATTAGAAGTGCAAAAACATCTGTATCTATGGCAGTCACACATACTGAGAGAAGATTGCATCAAATGATGTTTTCTGATAGGGACTACGAGAGAAAGCCTATTTTGAGGCTTAGTGCTGATTCTCCTTTAGTGACTGTGCAGAATTGGCTAGAGAAAGGCTATTCGGTTGTTAATGTTCAGTGTAAGGATCGAATGAAACTTTTGTTCGATGTTGTTTGCACCTTGACAGACATGGATTATGTTGTATTTCATGCCACAATCAACACTGCTGGGGACAGAGCTTATCTGGTATATGTTCATATGAATTCTCTTAATTTGATTTCTATTGATGAAATTAGTTTTGTTGATTTTTAGATCTTCACGTTCTGATTTTTATGTGCTAATTTTGTTTCAGGAATTCTACATCAAACACACAGACGGAACCCCAATTAGTTCAGAGCCTGAAAGGCAGCGAGTGATCTTATGCTTACAAGCTGCAGTTGAGAGAAGAGCCTCTGAGGTAATTCTTTTACTCCAAGTTGATGTCCTTGAAATTATTATGATTTATTATGTGTATTTTGCAAATATTAATGGGAATATTTTGTATTAATTGCAGGGTGTAATGCTAGAATTATGTACTCCTGATAGGCAATGCCTTTTAGCAGATGTGACTAGAACGTTTAGGGAGAATGGTCTCAATGTCACAAGAGCTGAGATATCCACCACGAGTGAAATGGCTGCAAATGTATTTTATGTAACGGATGCAGTTGGTAATCCTGCAGATCCCAAGTTAATCGATTCTGTGAGGCAAAAAATTGGATTGAGTTATTTGAAAGTGAAGGAATTGCCACCATTGTTATATCATGAAGAGGCTGAAAGGGAAGAGCAAGGGGTAGGAGTTGCCGGGGCGGTGTTATTATCACTTGGAAGCCTATTTAGGAAGAACCTGTACAATTTGGGATTAATTAGATCATATTCTTAAAGTGAAACACAAAAAGGCAAATTGGTTTAAGAAATGAAAAAGAAGATTTGTTGATGACATCTCTTTTGAGGTGGGCATATTCTTTGCTTGAGGTTTGAGCATGTGGTGTACATATGGCAAAAGGTGAAGGATTGTGGTATTAGTAGTAGCAGTAGTAGTTGGGTTTGGTTGGCCGAATAGAGGTAGAGACACATTGTAGGGCTGCTCCACCATATCGTCTATATATATATATATATGTATTGAAAGTTGATGCTTAGTTTGAAGGGAAGATCTTAAATGGAGGAAAGGAGAAGGAAAATTAGGTAGAAATTTGAAAACAATTTCTTGATTTACAGCGCAGCTCACAGTTGTACATAACGACCTCTTAATATAGTAGTTTTAATGGTTGACTTGTTATTCTTTTTATATCATTCTTCATCTAGAATCTTGTGTTTAGTTGATTTCTTTTGGTATAAATGGGGACATGAGGTCCTACACTAAAGAGGTGGATAAAAAGTCTTAATGGGATGAAATAAAAATAATTGAAAAGACAGATGGTTTATGGCGGTGATAACGCGTATGGTTTAGATTGGAGGCTCATTATGCAGGTTGAACCGCATGCACCGACCACCGTCCTAATCCCTCTTTTATCATTTGATTTTCTTCTAAAAAAAAGAAACTGAGACTATATATGGGAGGAAGATTAAGTATAATAATTTAGATAATAATAAGATTAGAATACAATAATTAATCTCTAATAGCCAATGATTGAATGGATTATACTGGTATATTATTCCATTACTGGTATTAACTGGATTTTTTATTTTTTTGTTTTTTTGTGGATAATTTAAACATTTGACTCAACATTTTGAAACCGACAAACGTCATCATAGTTTAAGATTGATAATTAATTAATTAAGCATAATAATTTGAAGGTGTAGGGTTTAGGTTTTATTTTAAAGGAAAGTGGTCAAAGAGTGAAATATTCAAAAACGAAAGAGAGACGGCCACTTGTCTTTACTATGTTTCTGTATGTCCAAGGAAAACAACACAGCTCCCGACATTCAGTCTATCCTAAAAACTAACTACTTGCTCACTTGTTCCAGGTGAGCTTTGGATTCATCTTTTTTTTGGTTTTTTCTCATTCTCTCCCTCTCTTTCAAGATACCATTTTCCATTCCATTTTTTGGTTTTTTTTCCTTTTCTTTTACCTACATTATAAAATCAGTATTCAATTTGTTGGACTCTTATATTAATTTTAGAAATAATCAGAAATGCAATTTGATTTATTGTGCAAGAACACCTTTAACGTTCTTGTTGTAATTATTTTATGTATAATAGAACTGTAAATGAATTAAGCTGTTCGCGAACTGTTGAAGCTCGATTTTATAAAAAATTTGTAAATGAACTAAACTTAAACCTAATTTTCTAAAAAATAAGAATTATTGTTATTGTTAAATAATTGAGGGTCCACAGGAGCAGAATATGCAAATTCTTTTGAAAGTGATCGAAGTGAGTGATGTACAACTAAGAGTCTTTGACTTATAGAGAAAAGAGCAAAATTTTGTTTAACAGTATCTTTTTCTTATTTTTAGTTTTAGGTTTTCAGACTTAACCCTAAATCGTGGGGTTGAAGACGATAGTTGGCTAATCTAACCGGTAAATCCGCCGGTTAAGATGGGTAGCTGAGCTGGCAATGTGGCACTGAGAAAACAAAGTGACACTGTCACATACTGTGGCAACTCACGTGATCTCTGTAATTAAGATCTTATGTACAATATTTATTTGGCTCTGCTTTTCATATATATATATATATATATACAACCTGTTTCTTTGCTTTTTCTCTCATTTTGTTGCATCGACTGGTCAATACTTTGCCTGAACCGGTTCTTTTACGGTTCAACATACTCATGTGTCTCTGACCCACATAAACCGGGTCTAAATACGTAAACTAACCCTAAATACAGAATGTAATTGTTTTCTTTCTTTATTTGTGCAGGCAGTCTTTGTGGGCTATGCCTCTCCATGTCTATACATAAATTGGCAAAAGTAATATTATATTGGATGATAGTGAAATTAGACTTATTTGAACACTATGAAGATGTCAATTTTACCGCCTTCAGAAGGGGCACCCAAAGCAACACTGCAAATTTTTTAGCCTTCTTTTTCTTCTTCTTCTTCTTCTTCTTTTTGATAAATGGTTAATTTGTTCTTTAATTCAATTCCATATGTAATCGATAGGGGTGGCCACAATTCGGAATCCGTAAGTTTGGTTCCTCAAAATCAGAAATTGAGATCATCTCAAATTAAGCCATTTGATTTGGATTTTAATTTTAATTTTAGGTTTAAAAATTGGTTGATTTCAATTTTCTTTTTCTCAAATTGGTTGTGACCATAACATGAGATTAACTATTTGATCTGTACCACTAAGAAATTGATGATTATATAATTGAAAATTTAAAGTTCAACATTTTAATTGAGATTGTATTGTATTGTCTTAATCATAGTATATAACAGAGTGTCTATTTATAGGGTTTACATAATGGACCTAAGATGAGAAAGAATAGTGAATATAATTACAGAGAGATTTCAGGAAGAGATATTAGAAATATGCAATAAATTAGAGATACTTTGACAATATTGGCTTTTTTTTCCCCAATTGACAATATTGACAATAAATTAGAGATTTCATATCTTGAACAATGCAAAAACAAGGAATTTAAATTGATATAAAAGCCAGAAATATTTAAAATTTTGGTCTATCATCATCCCAATAATAGACGTTTGACATATATTCCATATATACACAGAATGGGATTGGATTGCATAGAATGAACAGATCCTATCTTATATATATATATATATGGTAATGTGAATCATAACATCAAATGCATGCATTTATATATATTTTATGATATCCTGAAGAAATGCTTTAATTTCAGTACGTATCTTTATGCCAAAGTAACTTCATTTCGAATCTAATATATATATATATATATAATTTGGATAATTAAAGTAATTTATAATTAAAAGAAAGAAATTAAGCAGACAAAAAAACATTCTAGAAATACAAGTAGACAATTAGAGCAGAATATATAGTGGAAAAACCATATATGCATTTGTTCCATTTAGATTTTGAAGAGTCATCTCCTTAAATTAAGTCCTAACTAGCTAGTAGCTATGCATGACTTGGCTTTTCAATTACACCTTCCCATGTGCCTTCATCATCCAATGTTATGTATGCTTTTCAGTTTTGATCAACCCATTATTCTTCATACTCTGTTGATGATATTCTTTGTGTACAACTATGGAAAAAAAAAAATAATAAATAAAGCTAACCAACAACAATGCATTATTAATATTGTCTAACTGTAAAATTTGGAAATCAATCAGCTGTAATATAGTTAGTCTTCACTTTTCAATATGAGTTAATATTATTTAAGGATTTACGGCTGATTCTCCCTATAAATACTTTTTTGCATATCAAACTTTTCTAACGCTACATACACCGTGTGTGAAGGCCACTAAAATTTGTATTATTAAGTACAAGCTAGTGTGATTAATTTTATCAATATGTGTTGTAGTAATTAATTAAGGTACATAGTGGCATACTTTGTCCTAATATGATTGTAATATTCTCTGCAATCAATTAGCTCAGTGACAAAAATGAAGACAAACCTAATCATCTCTATAAAATTAAGCTTAGCAAGCCAGCTCCCAAATGAAAAACTATTTTCCTTTGGAAGCATCTTAGTTTGCTGAAGAATCCAACAAAGCTACTGCCTGGTAATGAGAATTGTTTGTTTTTAGTATTAGGAGTTTCCTTTTGCAAGCAAGAATCAATTTTTTATAATTTTGATTCTTGTTCTTGGCTTTTCCTTTTCTTCTATTTTCACACTACTTTGAACATCCCGCTTGTGCAAAATGTATTGGAAAGGCAAAGCATCCAAAGTATATAGAATTAGATGAATCTTACAAAAGCACTAATTTACAGTAATTGGCCTATCCAAAGAGATTCTTAGCCCAACTATAAATTATATGATTATCTTTTTGTTATTCATTGGTTATTTTCATGAAAATTTCTAATTATTCATACTTTTAATCACCTTTTTCATCCTATTCCATTTCTTTTTTATTATTATTATTATCCCTTTGAAAGTACAAATTACTCTAATTTAATTCCAATCTTTGTTGTTCTAGAAACTAATTATATGTCCGTACCAAGAATATAATCCATTAATTCAATTAATTAGTCATCAAATATTCTAACCTTGCTTAATTACTAGTTAATTTAGAGCCAAATTAGCAATATTTCATTTTGTCAATTTGTTCCACTTTAATTTCTTTCCATATACATTTATTTATTCTTTCTAACGGTTTTTACATCAAATTAGTTAAAAAAAAAGTATTCGTGAAGAAATATATTTGATTTTAAAAATAAAATCTCCTCATGCTATTATGATTCTATCCAAATAATAATATTTGATTTTAAAATATAATTATATATTACATATGAATTATGGTTAAATCCTTAATAAATATTTATATTCTATCAATTAAATAATCGATTTTAGTAAGTAAACATATCTAAATTAAGAGACTTGTGAAAAGATGATTATTGTCTGTTTTTGTAGAAATCTTAAAATGATGTAAGAAAAATTGGCTTCCCTAGTTGTCATTTGGCACATATTATTGTTCTCCATGTCATATGTAGGGTCTCTTGAGTTGTTTCCTCTTGAAAATGATACAACTACTTGACCACCAATATAATAATATTATCTTTATTAAGTTTTTTATTTTTTTTTTATTTGGATTAAATTAAAAAAAACATAGGCTTATTAAAAAGTAAAAATAGTCACATCTTTAAGTGTAACAGATTTTATCTATGTTGCTCGAGTAGGGTTGGATGGGCACTTGACGGAATCCCTAATTTCAACAATGGGGGTCCAATTAAACTAATCTAGGTTCCATTTTATAAAGCTTTTTTAGGCCATGTAACCATGGGTCTCAATAATATGACTCTTAAAACAAAGTCCAGCGCAGACATTGGGCTTGAGCCCAGTTTCTTTCTACTGAAATATTACTTACAAGCCCATTCAAAAAGCCTGGGTATCAGAATGGATCATGATTTATTAAACACACAAAAGTAACATGTTTAGAATTTATATATTTATGATCCAAGTTTGAATAATAAATTAATTTGAGAATTACTTACAATCCCTTTAATTTAACATGTTGTGTTAGATAGTAAAAAACCGAACTGATTAACAAATAATCCATGTAATTCATTATGATATTAAGGATAAAATAGTCATTTACATATGTTAGATTTTATAATCATCGTACAATCCATCTATTTAAATATATCATACGCTTTATGTTTAATTTAAGATCCGCATACAACTCATTTAAATGAAAACAATAATTATTT